ATATATACTTTTTTAATAATAATATATTATATTATGAAATTTTAATTTATTTTAAAAGTCGATATATAATTTTTTAATAATAATATATTATATTATAAATTTATAATGTTAGTTGATATTATAAATATAATATTTTTATTTTCTTAATTAGTTGGGAATTTGATTTCTCCTTTGCTCAAAAGAAAACGGAATCCGTTTAATTTAAAAAGAGCCCATAGAGATGGCCCACCAAAGATGTAAGCCTTGTCCAAACCCACTATAATAATCAGGATGCCCATTGGACCCTGCATTTTCTCAACTCTGCACACCGTATCTGACTCTTACCCTCTCTACTTTCCTTGTGAACAAGCTCTTCGATTAGAAGAAAGTGATGTGTGCAAGCAATCTCTTCGGGATAAATAAGATGCCAGGGTGAATGAGAATGACCCTTATTCATCTCCTGTGTGGTTCTTCTCGCAATAGCCGGCCTCAGATAATTCAATTTTGTTGACTATCTGAATTCGATTCTAATTGATCCTCCTCCTCTGCGATCCCGTCTCAAATCTCCGTTGAATTTGGGATTGGATCGTCTTTCTTTTTCTTTTTTTTTTTCTTTTTAATTTTTGGTTTTAATCATCTGGGCACCGGCGGAAATCCTTGATTTTAAGGTGCAGGGAAGGAATTTGTTTGCTTGTGGCTTTTTCAGGTGGTGGGTCGATCTGATATCGGGTTTAGCTTGGTGGGTTTTGATCTGGGATTTTGTGGGTGGGATTGTTGGGAGTTTGTGCATCGGGTTTTTGACCTTTGGATTCGATTTCTGCGGTTGAATTGAAATGGTCTATATCCATAGCTCAATCTCGGTCTGCAACTCCGTTGACCAGCCCGCGACAACAATCATGGCGAATTCTGTGAACTCGAATGATTTGTACCCAAAATCAAGGCACAATAGTCACGTTCCGAAGAACAAAAAGGTACCCAATTTACCAAGCTGCCTGAAAATCCCTGATTGCGAAAGATCTCGATCTGCAGCTGTGGATGTTTTGATTTTGATTGCTGTGATTGCTGCTTGCGGGTTCTTGTTATTTCCTTATATCAAGTTTGTATCCCTCGAATCAACTAAATTTACTGGGGCTGTGTTTTATTTGGTTAAAGAGGAGATCATGGAAGCTCCAATGATTTATGGATCCATAGGATTAAGCTTTTGTTGTGCTGCAATGGCTGCCTGGATTGTACTCCTCTGTACAACTAGGAAATGTGGAAACCCGAACTGCAAGGGGCTGAGGAAGGCAGCTGAGTTTGATATTCAGCTGGAGACAAAGGATTGTGTGAAGAATTCCAGCACTCTGGGAAAAGATGGAGTTAAAAAGGGACTTTTTGAGTTACCGCGTGATCACCACAGGGAACTGGAAGCTGAGCTAAAGAAGATGGCCCCGGTTAATGGAAGAGCAGTGCTCATTTTTCGAGCAAGGTGTGGATGTTCTGTTGGGAGATTGGAGGTTCCAGGGCCAAAGAAGCATAAGAAGATCAAGAAGTAGGACCTTTATATGATTGATAATTGATAGAGAAAGGATAAAGCAATACAGGAATACTCATAATGCAGAGAGGAGTGCCTTCTCTGGTCAGTTTTAATCAGACCTCCTTTGTTTTTAAATAAGCCCATGATGGCAATAAGTTGTAAGGATCATATACAGTTGGTTATAGTGGAGAATATAAGAATCCTTTCTTTCATCTATTTCAAATAGTTCTTCATTATGACTTGCTTCTTAGAGTTTATATTATGTGTCCTGAACTTTATTTAGTTTTCTGCTATCATAGGCCGTAGAAATTCTTTCTGGATCATCATAATTGTTGAAGTTTGAAACTATGTTAGGTATTAAGATTATTATGTTTGATTCTTGAACCGAGTGATTAGTAGCAATTTTAAAGTGGTATGGGAGAAGATTATTAAAATCCATTGCTAACTGTTGAACTCGACAATAGAAAGTGGAAACTTTTGTGTTATGGACCACGGTAAATAACAGGAAAAGCTCTTTGTTCTGACAATGGAAACTGGATTCTGCATATGAGTTAGTATGTGTCCACTGTACCATGGTTCATGCTGTTAAATATTTGCCCTCATAGATAAGCGGCCTCCTTATTGATCTAAGAATGTCAAGGAGTAACTATGATGGATGGTTTAATTGCAGTTCTTGTAGAATCTCCGAGTGTGATGTGTCAATTCACTCCTTGGATAAGATTGGTCAATCTCTTTATCTTCGTTAACTTCAAAACTTTGTTTCATAATAAATTTCAAATGTTTTACCAACAGAGTCAGTTCCTTTGTTTCTATTGTTATATCTATTTTCTCACTATAACATTAGAATGGTTCCTTATTTGTGTTCGATGTGATTCTTCTATTTTCCATGGAAAACCAAATTTCTTAGCTATGAGAAAGAGAAGTTTATAGCTTGCAACAAGGACTGGCATTGTGGGAAACAGATAATGAGAATTTGGGTTGTGGAATTATATACCGTGTTTTTGGCGCATGCAGATTTCTCATTTGGTTCACAACTCTGTTTTTCCATTCACTGAAGCTTTCCCCATTCAACTTGTCTTTCCTTTTGGAACGAGGAAAGGTACTTCAGTTTACTTTCTCTTGGTTTCCTCTTTCTGTTTCAGATGGTCCTTCAGCATAGGACAACCACATTAGTAGTCCAAATTCTTCTTATCAGATTAACTTGTGAGCTCTGATTCTGGAATTTTTATCTCTAACATACTTTTTGGTCTTAATTCTTGCTTTGCCCTCTGTTTTAATATGCAACTCTTATTCAACTCATTATCAGGATGGCGATGTACTCGGTAAGTTAATTTCTCCAAGATATTGATAAAGCAAATAATTCCATGAATAGTTGGATCTGCTGAACAGGGCAAGTTTTTCAGTCCGAAGGTTAAGTCGGAGTTCACATTGCAAAATAATAGTTTTGACTACATAAACTCTATCAGTTTCTCTTTGTTATGCTGGCAATATGAACTGAGTTCTTTGTCTTGTAAGTAAACAAAAGATATAGGTGAGGAGATTTTTGATTTTTCACTTTTGTGTTTGTGTGCTGTGTTTCCTTCCTGGGAATTCAACCTCCGCATTTCTACGATCCTTGGCAATTGTTGCTAGGCAGCTTTTGCTGTGTGGTTCATTTGAAGCATTATTAGAACTCTAGTTCATCCGGCAATCAACTATTGTTTGTTCAATGCCTTACTAGTATTACTTGACGTTTCTTGAGACAGATACCAAGTTCGGTGAAGATTTTGCAATAAAGGGTAAGATCAGAACATTCTTTTTTTCAATTTTGATGAGAAACAACCCTTTTACATCCGTTCACACACTCCCTTATGATATAATTTCGTTTGATAATATTTTTTAGTACTTTATATTTTAATTTTTGTATCTTTTTTTTTAATTTTAAAAAT